AAACTGAAAACACATATTAAAAAAGTGTTGTTGTCATCATTTTTTGTGAATCTGGTACTTACAGTGCTGTTTTGCTACATGGTTGCATGGGTTTTGTGAAAATGTCAAAGCAAACATCTAACGTGACCTCAGTGCATCAAGTCATCATAGGTAAGATCATAAATAGACCATAAACGCTTCATATCTGCTATGGCAGTATGCGTGGTTGTACTTTTTACCCAGTGATTTGGTTTAGGTGTTTAAGATTGCTGTGTTGTATTTCTCCATTTTCCCACATGAGCTGTTTGATGTAACTTTTTTATTCTATTTTATTCTATTCTAACTTTCATGTAGTCTTCATTGGGTCTGCTTGCGGTACTAGTAACCTGGGTTTTTGGCTTCAATAATTATTAGGTTTTAAATTTGTAATTTTACTGTTCTTTAACTTTGTAGGTCTAACTGTCTGACTTTAATTTGCCATCCTCTCTGGGCTGAGTTGTAACTGTGGTAAGCAGGTGCATGCTTTATAGACCATGTTTCCAACACAAGGCCCGCAGGCCACATCAGGCCCGCAACACATTCCTATCCAGCCCGCAGAAGTATTACAATTTTCCATTAATGTTAGCTCATTTCACAATGCGCTGATTACAATCACCAGCATGCACTGCAACGTAATGTATGCTCCGACCCTTCTACCCCAACAACAGGACACCAGTTGTTATCATCAAACAGCTAACTGCAGTTCAGCCAATATAAACACATAAGCTTAGCTCAGCAACCTAAAATTGAGCCCAAGAATGAATGAACTTGCAACAAAGAGAAGATGCCAGATGTCTAGTTCAAGCAAATAGGTAGGTTTAAAAGACCAAGCTCCTGGAGACATTTAAATTTAGAATATTTCAAGTATTCATATAATATTTGAAGGTCTACCATAAGTGCTTATATTTACTGCTGAATTTTTTTGCGTATTTTGAATAAACAATGGTCAGTCCAGTTTATAGCAAAATGTTAAATAAAAATGAAATAAAACATAGATGTTCTCTGGCCCATGGATTTGTTGAGATTTTTAAATATGGCCCTTTTAGTAGTTGAGTTTGACACCCCTGCTTTATAGTGAAGGTGCTGTAGTGTTTGTATTTGTAAATTCAGCTTTCTGATTAGTTGCTCTTGTTTTGTATCACGGTGTGCACAGCCTATAGGTGTGTGAGTGTGACACTCCTGGTCTGAAAAACAAATTTCACGCTGGCCTTACTTACAGGAATTATCTGATCTGGTGTTCACTATTGACTGCTAAAATAAAAATCAGCAGTTTTTCTTTGTTGAGATTCCAACAATGATCATTTCAAATTCTTATAAAGGAAATCTGTTTGGATGCTCTGGACAAGTGGATTTCTGTGGAAGATGCCTGCAGTTGTAGTATAAACCATTATCATCATTATGTACGCCCAGTTTAACAGATGTGTGCCTCTAACCCTCAATAACAAAATATCCTTTTTAAAAAACTAAAGATAATTGAAGTAAAAAGTCATACTTCAGTATTTACTTGAGTATTTTTTTTGATTGACTTCTGCTTAATTAAGGAATTTGTGTACTCCTGCCACCTCTGTTAATAATTACTCACTACTTAATCAGTAAGTAAAACTAATGCTTAATGATAAGTGAACTAACATATAAATAATGTGTATTTAATTACTTATTATCAATTCATTTGCAACCCTTAATATAAACCGTTACCAAAAAAAGTAAAAGTCATGCTGATTTTAAAGCTCCCTGTTTACATAAGCTTTGTATATGTTTGGGAGGAAAAATGGAAAATCTGCTTTTAGATCTATAAAGATTGATGCTTTTCTCCTCTGAGCCAAGGTAAATGAAGTTTTCTAGGTTCATTAATTAAAGATAACAATGCTGTAAACAAAGTCCTTTAGAGATATAAATGCTGAGGACAACACACATACACCATTCAAAGGTAAACATTCACTGTAGAGAAATCTACCGACTCTGATTTCTTACAATGTTGGTGATAGCAACCAGAGGTCCAAAAAAGGAAACATAGCCATTCTATTTATTATCCAAAGTGACCAGTGAATCTGGAGTGTGCCTCACCATTAAGTAGGAATGCAATTAAGTCTCATCAGAAAAAAACTATCATAAAACAATGTCTAATTGCATCTGGCAACGTATTCATAACCATTTTGTTTTATTTTCAAAACAAATTACTTTGATGACATCTCCGATTTATTATGCAGACACTGTCTGCTTAAATTAAAAAACTTGGTGGAATTCCCGTTGAAGTTGTCAGAACACAAATATTGCTACATATTTGCTACAAGCAGGCTAACACTCCTGCACACTCAACCGATATCACCAAATTATGTGGTTTGCTTTCTTGTTTGTGCAGGGTATTTGATGAGATTGCTATTCTCGTCAATTAAAGGACTGCTTCTTTACACAATTTCCCACTTACCCCCAGGTGTAGTAGACAGGCTGTTAGGAGTCTAAATTTTCTTTCTTTAATTTCTTCTTTTACTTCTGTTGTTAAAAATCATGTTTTAATCATGTTTTAAATGTAAATTCTCCTACATCTTTTAAATTTTAATTATCTGTGTATTTTTCATTTGTAAAGAACTCTGAATGATGGCACTGAATGAAAGGTGCCATTTAAATAGACATGCCTTGCCTCAAGTTATTTGAGAAATTGAGTGAAAAGGCGTACGCACGCTAGAACTCCATAGTCTTCACGTACATTATATCCAGGTCTTCATTAGGGTTACACAGATTTCTCAATGTGGTTTAGGAAACAGTGTGACTCACAGTAAACTATAAAAATAAAGAAAAGTGCAGGCAGCCATGTTAGACAACATGCCCTCTATTCACAAACCATGTCAGGAATAGGAGTGCTGATCTAGAATCAGGCCTGCTTTGTGAATACCAGCCCTGGTGTTGCCCGAAATGGCTGCTCATATTAACACACACTGCCATACACTGGCAAGTCTGCACAACCTTAAAGAAAAGAAGTCCTGGGAATGTATTTTTACAAGTGGGACAAGTGGAAAATTGGGTAAATTTGATTTGCTGCCAAACCTACTCCTTTAAATGCAAAAAAGTGTTCACTTTAATGGAGCATATATGTAACAATAAGATTTCAACTACTTAACCTCATAATTCAAATTAACAGTTTCGGATTTCATTTCATTCGTTTCATTTTGACGTAGGACAAAATGTATAGGTAAAACAGTTAACCACAGAGCACGATAGTGTGATTTTCAAAAGCGCCAGTTTTCCCATAAGTAAAAAACAGCTTGGACCCAGGGACTGTACATGCTTTTGGTGAACTACAAAATAAATCTGTAACACCAAAAAAACATAACATCCCAAAATTAATGTCAAATCCCACACACTACATTCACTATACAACTTAAACACAAATATGCAAAAGACAACTGCCCAACTAACATGTCCCTTTGATATTTAGATTTATTGCAAATTAGTTGTTGGATAAAAGCAGCAATGGCAAGACCAAATGAGACGGGGAATAATAACAACAAAATCAACAAACACAAGCATAGTCACATTTTCAGTCATTTTACTTTTGAACATCAGTCATCAACTCCTTTCATTTCTGGCAAGCACTCATTAATGCATCAATGTAACCTGAGATTCAAAAAAAGAACTCCACTCAGGAGTGTTTAAGTTAATTCTCCACATAGGTTTATGACAATGTGTGAATCGTGTTAAAACTCTAGGCATAATCAAAAACATAAACTAAAAAAAAAAAAAACTAACAGTACACAACAGTTATATTCTTCAGAATAAGTATTTGTGCTGGAACTTCAGGGGCAGACAGATCCTTCCCTCTGCTTTCACAAGAATGGGCTCTGCAGTGAATATCCATGAGGACAGACCTTTTTGTCTCTGGGTTGAACAGTGGGACCGTGTAGGTGCAAAGCACAGAGCAGGAGAAAAAGAAAGGTGAGTCTCCTTACTCAGAACATACGACACAGACCCAAGGCACATCTGCATGGCATGACCAGCTTGAACGGTTTTCCGTCTGAAGGTCAAGTCTGACAATCAACCCAGGGATGGCTGAGATTGCACCTGCAGATGAACTGAGGTTAAGGTGTCTTGCTGCATTGTGCTCATGGGTGTGTGGGGGGAGGGGGGTGGCGTTACCGAAATCTGCTTCTCAGAAGTTTCCTTGTTCATGATAAACATCAGAACTACTCCAGCATTGCTGTTGCTAGCATGCATTCTAGCATGCGTGACTTAACATGCCAACAAGCAGAGCGAACACCTTTGCTCTGTCCATAGAAGTCTTGAAGAAGAAAAAAAAAGCTTCTCTGAGCTTTTGTTAATATGGACAGTAAGCCAACTGACCAGCAAAAAAAACACAAGCCCTCTGGACATCCAAGAAACTTCATGTATTAATGAGTTACCAAACTGTTTGTAGATGCATGTTAAAAAAAAACAAACAAAAATAGCTTAATAATAATAGTGAATCATAATAGTCACAAAAGGAAAAAAGGGAAGAAATATAAGAACTAAAGAAAGACATTAACTAACTAAAAAAGTAAATTTTTTTGGTATATATTGTACAGCAGAGGGTTCGAGGACTTGATATTGTGTAGCCCTTTGTTGACAACTAAAACAGCTATATGAAGAATGATGGCAGTAGTTACCAATCACTGTTATTCTCAGGGCGTACATGGACATAGCAAGCAGTAGTCTGTCCCTTCTTACTTTTCTTCATTTCTGTAACACTAGATAATTTTTTCTTTAAATTGAAGCTAGGTTACATGTGCACAGACCTGCAAAAAAGTGTCATGTAAATATGATGAATATACATTTTTTCATTCATTTTAACTTGAACAAATATACTGTCTTGCATTAGGTTTATAAGCTCAGAGCACACCTGAAGTCTTTGCAGGGCCAACAGCAGATTCCATCACACTTCAAAAACCAATTACAGGAAAGCCTAAAACACAAAAAAAGGAAAACTGATAAAAAAAAACAAAACAAAAAAAAACAAACAAACACACACCCTTCTTCCACTCCACTGCAGCTTGAGCTGCAACAACACTTCAAAGCTATAGCATCAACCATGTTGTCTCAGTTGTAAGACAGGCGAGTAAGAAGAAAAGAACAGCAATGTTGGAAAATGGGGGTTAGTATCTACCGCTTTACAGCTCATCTCTGTAAATATAAGGTCCATCCTTCTAGAAAAGGAAAAAGGAGCAGATGTCAGAAAGAAGAAAGGTACTAGGCTGGGGGGCTTTCTAGAATAGTGTGGGAGGGGGGTCTTTTTTTCTGGGGGTCTTCAAAGGAGCCCTGGAACTGGCTCCTGGGAGAATTCACCTCAATGAACAACAAGAGCTCCAGCAGCATAACTCACTGAGCTGTCCGACCAGTTTCGGCACTGACTGGACTGAGCATAGTTTAGAAAAGAAAAGTTCATGTCCAGCCCATTCTTCTTCAGCTCTGCCACAGCCTAGAAGGAAGAACATGGACATGTTACTGTGGTGAAGCAGAGTGCAGAAACTAGAAGAAAATAAGAAAATAAGATCTAGTCTTTGGCTATGTTCACATTACAAGCTCCATTCCAATTTTTTTGGTCTGGTCAGATTTGATCTTTGACATTAAGATCATTTGTGTGGGCAAATGACTCATACCTGACAATAGTGTGAACAGCATTCTGCAAACATACTTACAGTTGGCTGGGTATGCAAGAAATACTGTGCTGTGAGACAGACTCCTGGATTGAGAATACTGAGAAAGTTGTCTGTAATTTTAACTATAACTTTTTAGAACCCCAAATGAGTATGCCATCATCTGCAAAAGTAGCCTTAAAGTCCCAAGTAACCTAAATCTGGTTCCTTTTTCATCAGATTAATATTGATGTTATAAGCACGCAATATGCATATACAAAGTAGGCCCTATAAATAATATGATAATAAATGATACATTAGAATTCCTCCCCCTTTGCTGTCAATCAGGTGGCCTTAATATTAGGTAAAGCTTATGCCACATAAGCATTAGTGAGGTCAGATACTGATAATTGATGGTTCTTGATCACAAATGCCACTTCAACTCGTCCCAAAGGAATTCAGTGGTGCTCAATGACTTCAGAGGATGCAGTGGGGGGGGCTGGAACTGGGCATAGTGAAGCAGTGTCTGAATACTTTTGGACATTTAGTTTACTATTCCATCACCACTCATGAATGTGGGTTATCTGGTAGTGGAACATATATCTGATTCTCTAAATCAGTATGAGTAGACTGACACATGTAGATTTGAACAATCACAATTTTCTCCCCTGCTTGTGTCACTGTCTACACTTCTGCTCAAGTGGTACAGATGTCAATCAAGCATGCTCATTAGTTTTTCAAAAGGTCTTATCAACAAATTCAGCTGTTTTTTGGGCAGTTTATCATATTTATATTTCTTTTTAAAACTTTGTTGAGCTTAATACAATAACACAGAATCATACAAACATCTTTAGTATTTTACACTAAATCCCCTGGGACTAAGGATGTGTTCATTGATTAGATGAGAAACCTGATTAAAAAAAAAAAGTCTATGGAGTTGTGCATATGGCAATGCTGTAGGTACTGCACACCTCAATGCCATGCCATGCCTCAATGAATAATTGTTCCTTCCAGGAAGCCTGCTTACAATTTGTAAACTACTAACAGTTATAATCTATTCTGCTAATGATCTAATAAATCAAACTAATCTTGATAGGGTGGTAAATATTAGTTTCACAAAGACTTACATAATGATACAACCTCTGGACAAAGCAAAACTAACTCACTAGCTAACTAACTGATTAATTGACTAACAGACTAAGTAACTGACTAAATAATAAACAAATAAATAAATTACACTACTCTAAATAATTATACTTACATTCAAAAGAACACCAATTGGGTGGCGACCACAAATAGTATTGTGATATTTCTTCAAGTAGTTACTAAAGGAGATGGGGTCCAACTGTTCTATAATTCCCATACCCTGGGGAGAAAATAATAAAAGCTGTTAAAAACAGGGTTATACTTTTTGACATCACAACCAGCCAATCTTAACTGATAACCTTTCACATTTTTAAATCTTATCTTTGGGCCAAATGACAAGTTTCTAGTACTCCAAAGAACTACACCTTCTAGATCACTTCTTGAATCTCAGGTGTTTTACAACTTCTGTTTTTATTTGTGTTTCTGAAGCCGAAAACAGTGACTTGGCTGAATGTACAAAAGGTTGCTACACAGAAATAGGTTTACCATCTTGTCAAGATGTTCAATAGATCTATAGATCTCGCCTTGATTTTCATCATAGTAGGTGTAGCGGAATCGTTGACCTAGAAAGATAAGAAGAAAGCAAATGGGGTTGAGAAATGGTGAAAAACATTAAGCACACAGAAGGTTAATCACCAGCTACTTAATTCATTTGTTCCACAAGTTTGATTAGGTTTGAAACTAGAGTCGGGCCATGTTCACAAAGACACTTTGTATCACTAACCCACCTCACATTTGACAGGACTTACTCTCATCTAACCAGCATCAGCCAATAGGAGACGCCTGAGGTGGGCATTCAGTCAGTTACATAAAATTCATTTTGTTGCAGGCAAAATGATTCTATTATGGTGCTAGTACTCTACAACTTAATAGGTTTCAACTAATTTTTAGGAAGATGTATTTTAGATTTTTTCAGAATGATTAGAGCTGTTAGACAGTACAATAATGACTGAGAACACTGTATAACATTGAGAATGAAAAGACATTTGTCTTCTGGTATCTAGCTGTAGTATTTCAATCTATACTGTAAGTTATTATTGAACAAAACAGCAATTATTAATATTTGCAAGTGATTGCCAACTTTTGAACAGTAGCATAAATATTGTAATTCTGCTCGAAAATAAACATTTACAAAATGTAACTGCAAAAAGTTGCATTAACTCGTTTTAAAAACGTATCTTGGCAGGCTAGCCAAAATAGTACTGCAGTACAAGAATTCACCAACCTGCATAAATTAACTTTTTATGGACAAACATTGTCCTTTTAATTGCACACTCAGGCATCCCTGTTTTAAAGTGTGTGCAGAAACACCCACCCCAGTGGCAGAAGTCTGATGAGATGATAAATAGGTTGGAAGGATCAGCCAAGTATTTGCTGAGCAGCTTGCCATACTCCTGTTCTTTAGACTCACTTAGAGCTCCCACCAGCACAGGAACAATGCTGAACTCGTCTTTATAGCTACGATACAGAAAACAAAAATACTTTTTTGTAAGATTCAAACACTGTGATGTGGTTTAACTAAATGGCAAGTAAAGACTTCTGAATGGAATAACAATCATCTCAAGCTTCACGCTTTTTGTGCTAGATCTCAAGTGCCGAAAGTCAGATGTATAATGACCATGGAAATTATAACACGAAAAGATCACAAATTAGGCAGAGCTTCATTCGTCTCAGACCACAGACTGTACTCAGATTTAAGAAAACCCGCCTTACTCTATTAATAAAAAGGGATAGGCAAGCACACACACACACAAAACTATGGAACCTGATGAGATGAACATTCATCTGTACCAGATAGAAAATAAGAACAAAGGAAATGAACATGCATAAAATTAATTAACATTAAACATCCTGACTTTGTACTGTTTTAATTTAAATACAAGTCAGTGTGGATTTCCTAATCATGTTTTTATCAGCATTTTAACTGCAGTCCCAAGTTAAATTGGGTTTGTAACTGTGTCCCAGATGAGCAGGGGTGGATGGATTATAACTAAGGCTACTGTAACACATACCTCTCCATGGCTTTGGCAGTGTAAGGCAGGTGCATCTCAATGCTGTGCTCATCCTCATCTGTTTGCAAAGTCATTCTCTCAAACATGCCAGTTTTCCACAGGTCAGCATAAACTGTAAGAGACCGTACCATTATATTCCTTTTGCATGTTGAAATAATTTGAAACACTAATCTCTGGCCAAATAATATTGTTCTTTTTAAAAAATAAGCTGAGTTTAAAAGGAGCCCTCCAGCATTTTCAGCTTAATCTCTATCTGCCACATCTGTAGCATATAGAGTACAATGGGCAATTTCGATGCATATTCCTGTACTTAGTCAGACTAGAAAACCCACTGACTCAATCCACACTTAGACACACTGTGTGCCTATCCATTCTGTTATAAGTGTGTTTTGAGTCAACAGGTTTTCTTTTCTTTTTAATAAGCTCTTGAAATTGTCTGTAGTAACTGACTACATGCTACCGATGTGGCAAACAGAAAATGGTTAACCTTCTCACTTCAATAACTTAAGCATCTTGCATTGTTTTCCATTTGGTTACAGAATAGCACAATTTAGGAAAAATTTAGTCTGGAAATGTAAGTGGTTAACTTTGACTATAAGTTCTTTACCCTTCTGGTCAATCCTCAGGTCATACAGTGGTGTTCTGTAGACCTCAGCAGGAGAGAGAGCGCATCGAGACAGGGGCACATGGTGTGAGGGTCCAAGAATGAACACCCTCCGGCTACCAAATGAGAGCATGATTTTAGTACTCCTACAGTGAAAAACATCATCTTAATATGCACAATGTACCATTATCTAAAGCACTCACGTAATAGAGGGGTCCACTTGCTTGTAGGCATGTGCTGCACAAGCACCGCAATAGGTGTAACCGGCATGACTGCAAAAAAGTATTTCGGAGGTGGAGGCTTAAAGCTATAACTGATTAAACAATAGCAAAATCAACCTAGCAAATATGATACTTCAAAAACAAATCCAGATTAAGGCAGTAAGTAATAACTGTAGTGCCGTAACACTCTAGTCCAGGGTTTGGAGTCGTGTGCATGATAAAGTGCAAAAATGTGTGTGTTGTTTTTGTTTTTTTTTAACATAACTGCAAATTTTGGTTTCTGTGATTGAACCGAAAAGGACAATCTGATTATTTTCAGGCTTTCAGTGTCAGCACTTGAAAAAGTAATTTGTATTTCAAAAAGTTAATTTTAGTTTTCCTGTGGGTCGCTACGCTTTGTAGTCATCAACAGGTGGGCCTTCTGTTAGACTCATATTGGACTTAAGAGCATATGCCTTGGTCTTGGCCTTTGGTATCGTCATATTTGTTTATCTCGTCTTGACCATTCGTTCTATTAACTGACACCAATGTCCACTGACTTACACTCAAATTCACTCACAATTCAAAACCAAGTTACTGCGTCTATGCGTTTGATTTAGCCAACTGGATTCTCCATTAGTTACTTAATTCGGAAAAGTCAGATTCATTCAGAGTAGGTGCTCATCGTGTCAGCTAATTCTAGTTTTACAAACCAGAAAGAATTCATGAGTGGTTCATCAAAAAAAGAAGTATAAGGGCACCTGCAAGTTTTTAGGTTTTGATACCCTGTATTTACATTCTCTTTTTTTGCTGGTTATGCTTAACACATTTAACAAATTCTTAAAACATAAAATTAATGAATCTCTAGGGATATCGCTCACTTTTACACGACTCCACCAAACAATCTAAAAAGAGAAAGAAATCTGAACAGAAAGGGGTTAGACTCGTTTAAGATCTTGAAGACGACTTAATTTGTTGGGTCTCAATTTTGAGGCAGTCTTACTGTAATTTGGACTTGACCTTGATTCATCATAATGTTGGACTTGGTGGTCTTGACTTTTAGTCCTAATTTCTGTGGCAATTTCAACAATTAGAAAGAGCATCTGAACTCCACTAAAATTGTCTTTCCTTTTTTTTTTAAAAAGAAAATGTAGGTCACATACGGTGCTATAATGGCTCTAGCGGGTCCTGCTGTGGACTGTGCTTGAGATAACCAGCCTTCCAGCTGTGCATTCAGCTGGGATCCTAAGAGAGAAGAAGAAAGACAAAAAAAAGTGAAATTATTGCTGTGAAAACATTTGTCATGATTACATTTTCAGCCTCTGTGAATGCGAATGAGTATTTACTTCATTTAAAAGAAACATCTCACTTAATTTTTCCACTATGTCAGGCAAGTAGATGTTTCATTTTGTGTATTTATTATTTTCTTTTTGACATGATTTAAAATACTTTATTCCTACAGCCATGATATCCATTACTCAACTATGCTTCAGTGCTTGGGGGTAAACAAAATTACTACACCAACCACAGCTCATAATTTTTGATGGTCATCTAATTTCTGTATCCTCTTCGTAGGCTACAGTATTTTTATCAATATTTATTCTACTTGAACAGTAAAGGAATTCATTTGGGTAATTACTAAGTCAGTATGTAAGTAAATCATAATTACCATGCATACTAACTTCAGCAGCATAAATTCTTGATTTCTGACTTTGGAAAAGAAAACTAGTCAAAAGAGAACAGGACTTTTGCAGATGAGAACCTAGTATACTAAATGCATCAGACATTAAACATTTTCCACTTAATGTACTGCAATGTCAGACAGAAAAAGATAACTGTTCTCAGAACATGGTTGAGAGACCTTAGAACTACCAACTCATTCTCAGTTTGCACAACCCAAGGTCTTTCCAATACACATCATATTGCTGCCTCTTGAAATTATACCCTATTGTAAATTTAAACTATACAAAATTTTTCTTTCTCATTTGTAAACTTCTTATAATCCACTACAGACAATGTTTTTGAACATGCACATTTTCTAAATAATCCAATGTAAATATAGCTGAAATGCAGATGTTTGCTTTGATAAGCAAATACATTGCTTTCATAGTAAGTCAAATTACCAGCTTGAGACTACAACTTATAAGAATATACCTTTTTTTATTTATGTCAGCAAATGTGTGAATGGTTTTCCATATTTGCCATGTTTTATTGCTAAGTAAGCACTCATACTAAACTGTGCTTATAAACAACTAAGTAAATTGAGAACTTGGCAAAACAAAATATTCTGGAAAATCTGGTATATTATTAGATCTGTCTGGAAAAAGAGCTTCAGTGCAGTCTGTAAGTAGCCTAATCAGACTGTGCCAAATATTTTTGCCCCTATTGTCTTTTATGCATATCATTTGTCTTAAAGGCATTAATATATATGACCCCTTCAATATCTAACCACCAGGGCATTCATGGGTTTATTTAGGTGCATCAAGGCACGGCAAACTGTGCCACGCTGTCTGGATTGAAGATGGACATGAATTTTTAAGATTTTTGATTGAATGAGAAGTTTAAGTGCCCATGTCTACACACTCCACAACTATGTTATAGTTTTATAAGCAGTTACATGATCACCAAAGACAACTACTTCCCCAAAAGTTGTTCTGTGAGCCTTTCATGTATGTCTATGTCACTGTGTTTCACAGATGATGTGGTATGCTTTGGATCATGAGTAGTTCCTTTTATTATATCCATATTTCCCTCATCCCATCACTCTGATACATGTAAATCATCTGTCCCTATTACTGTGGTACAGCTGATATTTGCTATTGCAAAGCTAATCCGTGCATTCTTGCTTCTTAACAATACACCTAACAGGCAATTTTTTGAAGACCTAATGTGTAAGTTTTGTCTCTATTTTAATTTGCCCTGCTTTACTGGCACCAGTAGTTTGTTAGTCCTTGTTAACAACATTTGAAATCCAGCTCTAATGCATGAGCTATTGAGGCAACAACACACACAGCTGCCCAAAAAACACTTCAAGCAGCAAAAGTGTACAATTACTTACACTACCCTACAGTCCAAATTATTTTATATGAATCACTCAAAATTTATAAATATCCTCAAATTAAAGTGACATTCTGCATTATAACTTGTGGACATTCATTCAAATTTTAAGCGCTAGAGTATCCAAAAATCTTTCTTTAGTAAAGAGAATGGTTCTATTCAGAACCATTAGTTCTGTATAGTTCAATGTCATTCCTAAAAAGGGATTTTTGCATAGTGAAATCATTCTTCATACTGATGGAGAATGTGTTATATATGGTTCTCTATAGCACCCAAAAGGGTTCCGCTATTGTTAAGTCATCAAGCTTGTAACAAGAAAACCCCTTTCTGGTGTTATATAGAACTATACACAACACATTCATTATCAGTCTGAAGAACAATTTCACCATCCAAATAACCATTTAAGAATGACATGGTTCTATATAAGATTCTCTTTCAAAAAAAAAAACAAAAAACAAAAAAACAAAAACAAAACCTTAAGGAACCTTTTTTCTTTAAGAGTGATGGGAGCAGGTGATATGGCCAATATATAACATTAAACTTCATGATACACATTAATTATTCTGATTTAAGTTTATATGTAGTATCCTAATATCTAGTTGCAGGTTTGATTGGCTGGAACAAACTATCAAAAACTCTGAATACAATCATTTTTATTTGCCAACTCACATACTGCACTGCATATATCTATTTAACCAGGATTAATTATGCTCTCTTTGTGTTCTTTAATTACTGACAATATCTACAATATGTTTTGAAAAGCATATTATGATGACCTAATTTATCATGATACATAGTCATATTGCCCATCCCTACTTGTTGACAGATAACCCCCATGCGATTTAGGCCTTCTGACCTCTGGGCTACAATAATGAACACCTATAAGCCTATGTCTTTACTTTCTTCTTTGTCACAACACTGAAAATTTCAAAAGGCAGATTAAAAGGCAGAGTCATCATGCAGTACAAAGTGGTGGCTACCTGCTTTTTCTGACTTCAGGTGGGAGAGTAAAACAAAGGAGGGCTGCTTGAAATGTATTTCTAGCTCACAGAGACTAACTGACTAGCTCTGATTGGGTTTAGCTGCCCAGCGTTTCCTGTATGAGGAGGAATGTGGATAAATACCAGCTAGCTAGCTTCATTTTGAACTGACACTCACGCAACACATTCAGCCGGCAGACGAACACCGTCACGCATGGTTCTGATGCGACTTCACACCGCCGACTAACTTAACCAGGTTCAAAATCTGCTAATTAAGCTGTCGGTTTGCTCAAGCAGAAACAGCATAGCTAGCCAGTTGTCCCGAGCTGGGGCCAGATTAAATGCACTGATATGCATTACTAGCACAAGTTATAGCTATAAGGTGACTTACATTCAGCAGTGATGACATGTCAAACACAGCTACAAAAAAACAGTTATGATGTTTGCCTGTTAACAAGTGACTAACGTTAGCTGTAGCGATGGCTATATTTAGCACACTAGCTAAATTGTTTATAGGCAGTTATGTAGCTCTGAAAGTAAAAGTAGCCTGAACAAAGCTGCCTGCGCAGAGACTGAGAAAAGATTACAAACGGTTTAACCATATAACCTACTTAAAAAATCAGAGTGTCACAGGGAAACTGGGAAAGGCGCTCGATAGAATGTCTGTTTGGTAACGGCGTGCTAGGCTGCTTTATTTCGTTCAGTTGCAAGTTGTTTAACGGGAAGGCTAGCACGGACCGGCTAGCCATCCAGTTAGCTACGCTAGGCAGCTAACGAGAACAAAAACAGCTTGTTTAAAAAGCTTTGTCAGCAACAGCAAAGGCTATGTTATGTATAGATGTACATAGTGGAAATTCACATACAGCGTGAAATATCGTGCATTTTTTGAACATTTAGCCAGCTAAAAGCGTTCACCTAACATTCTTTGTCATGCTTAGCTAGCTAGCTAGCCAACTAACGCATTAAGCCCATCACATTCTTAGCTAGCTACCTAGCTAGCGTATTTGTTTCTAAACTTACTTAGCTAGTATTGTGGCCAGTCAACGATATATAAGTCACTTTGCCCGACGTGCTAAACTAACGCGAAGCCTTAAAAGTTTACGTTAGGGACTTTATGTTTACTTGCCAACCTCATAATGACAAGCAGTAGACTGAAAACACACGGCCCGTGCTCTGAAGCGAATTGTTTAAAAATTCACAGCTGATCCCCACTACCCCAGCCCGTTCGACGCCAGATTACAAGCTAGTTCCCAGGACCTTGGCCCAGGGGCACCGATACAAAAGCCAAAATCCCCGGCTCTACCTGAGGCGGTGTACCAGCTGCCGGCGTGACTTGCTTCTCTGCACACCATTCGGTTCGACATCTTGGTACCCGAGCCGCCTATCTTGGTCAAACGAAAATCTGATCGGTGGGGGGAAGAATCCCAATAACACTGGGGAACAATGGCAAAGCCGCTAGCACTGAAAGTAGAAGTAGCCTGAACAAAGCTGCCTGCGCAGTGACAGAGAAAAGATTACAAACGGTTTAACCATATACTTAAAAAAAAATCAGAGTGTCACAGGGAAACTGGGAAAGGCGCTCGATAGAATGTCTGCCTCTAAAGAACAAAGCTCGGACCGGTTCATCCGCGGGCAGCCAAGTTAGTATCCGGATGGGTCGGTTTGTCATAACTCGGCTCCTGTTCTAACCGATAGATTCTTATTGGTCGAGCCCGTGCTAAACGCACCCGGATTCTTCATTGGTGTACGAAGGAAAGAGGCGTGTTACAGTGTCTATAAACTTCCAATCAGCACCGCCAGGCTACGTCCTTTGTAAATACTCTATTTATGTGCTTGTCGGTCTGTGATGAGACTCTTTTTGTGCTGCTAAAGAAGGTGTTAGTGTGGAGCCTTCGATCTCTTCAGTCCACCCGACTGCCATTGTAGTGTAGTATTTCTACTTTTTTACTGTAACGTTACTACGCATGTGTTATGACTTAAATTCCATTTGAAGAGCTCACGGCCATACGTCACCACCATAGATATACATACATACTTGCCTAGCTGCCGCGTTGGGTCCAGCCAGGCACGTCAACGGCGCCGCCATTTTGGGGCGGCCAACATCGCTGCTGAACTGCATTCAGTACCATTGTAGAGCGGCAGTTTAAGATAGGTTCTGTCCAAAATTATACTGTTTAAAGAATATTGCACTCAGAAAGCGGGATAGGATTATATAACGGAGGGAACGCAGCGATCCACGCTCATGTTTGTGTGGATATGGCCGGGTGGAAAATTGGCAAATAGGAAGCCAATTTTTGCTTCGTCCTTCTTACTGTGTTTGCGGGGTTTATTTTATTTTTATGTTATATTGTTATATTAAGATTATAAGTGATTAACACATTAATGGATTAGCTGATGTGTGTGAGATTATGTTTCTACCGTAGCTCGTGCTAAACGTCAGGTGCAGACTGAATATTCAGTCTGTTATAAGTTATTAAAGAAGTAAAAGCTACAAAGTCTGTGCAACCTAGATTAACCCATGTCTGAGCATTATAACAAAACAAATTTGCTGAAAATCGGTTGAGTAATAAGTAAGTTGTAGCCGATTTAATCCTGAGAACTCATTCTCTCAATACTACAGCAGTGTTAAAATGTTGTATGCTATTCAGTGTTCAGGAAATGATTGCATTCTTTTAAATTAAAAATGTTTAATCATTTATAAACTATGATTTTGCTCAAATGCTCCATATCAACCCATTCATTTTTGACTCGTTCTCAGTTCTCTGTGTATACCTATGGTCACCACAGTTATAGCAGAGCCGGTTTACGAGGAGCCTGGCCACTTCCTATTCCCCCCGTTATATCAAAAACAGGACTGCCAAACAGCAATGAATGGGAGTAAATGGCGCTCAACGGCTAAAAACGAAAAGTTAAAATAGTTTCTAATCACTCGCCCAGAACGTTTCTTTAATTTTAGAAAGTAGAAGAATGTATTTCACTAAAAAAACAAAGAAATCTCACCTATATATTTCCTTTTTTCTACAGCAAACAGGTTTTGGGCAGCAGAAGGTGGGCATTACTGCTAGAGCATGATGATTGGCGAGCCGAGCAGCTCATTGGCTGTTCGCTCTCACTGACGTCAAGGACATACATGAGGCACAGTTTTAAACTCCTATAACTTGAGTTTAAAAGCTCTTAAAAACATAACAGCAGTGTTAAAAGTTTTATGCTGTTCTGTGTCCAGGAAATAGTTGCATTCTTTTACATTGAAAATGTTTAAGCATTTATAAACTATGATTTTGCTCAAATGCTCCATATCAACCCATCCAATTTGGGCTCACTCGGGTGCACCCTCTAGTGTTTGAGAAAACCGGAAGACATTGCAGAGTGGTAATTCTCATCTCTACAAGTTCTCTGGTTGTAGGGCAACAGCTCTGAACCAATAGTTGTAGGACATGTGATTTTTAGTCTTGTGCCACCTAGCCTTCTGGAGGCGGTAATAGTTTAGCACATTCACTACGACAGCTATGGAACATCAACGTTTCCTATTTTTAGGCCAGTATTTTTTATTAGATTCATCTGTAAATTAAAGTAAAAACATAAATAACGTTTTTGTAGGAATCAAGCCCAACAAGATAAAAGAGAAATTTATATACACTGAATTGTCTATTTGGAAACACTGTAGGTGTTCTTCATATATTTACAATTACAGCCCATCTGTTCCAATACAATTTATCAGCCCCATCTACTCTGTTCATTAATAAAAACCACAACGTTACATTTTTGTTTTTGCTTATTTAATTTATTGCTGAACAGGTTAGGACCATTGTGGTGTATTACAATCCTTTATTATCATACATTTAAGAGCTAGCATGTCATGACCATTATGCTATGTAAGCTATATGAAATTAGTTTCCTAAAAACTTAAATGCACTCTAACACCTTACCTGAAAGTATCAGCTAAAGTGAAAACGGAGCATAACTGTGTTACAAGATCTATAATATCAAAATAACTGCATTCAATAAGTTTTAACACATTTATGAAGCACACTTTTATGAAGTGACAACTCACAAAAAACACAAATTAAGAATATACTTTTTCATAAGGGTCTCTTACATATCTAAAAAGTGGGTTCTATATAGTACTAAAAAGGGTTGTGAAACACTGATATTGTTTACCTAACGTAATTGTTTCATGGTGAAATTATTTATAACATTTCATTTTTACAGTCAAAAATAATCAAGTTTCATTACATTAAAATAATAGTATGACATTTCAAGTCTACAAAACACTGCAGATTTAAACCAACGTAACCAGCTCACTTTAAACGCACTGGCCCTTGAACTGAATAAAGACTGTCCCAATGCACTTTCCGTACTGGCAGTGTCGCACATGCGCAGTACTTATGAGGCTAACAGGCTCGTGCGTCATTTTTACCCCCCGTGACGCGAAATGGGCCCTCAGGACAGTCTCGTTTTTCATCGACCACCATCCATCACTATTTTGTAAGTACAAACTTTTACTTAATAATACATTATAACACGGTGCATTTGTGAGAACAGATAAGTGTTACTTCAGTTTTTTGCGCTTGGCCGTGTCCTTTGATAAAGTTCTGGACTCTAGACAAAAAATGCTTATGGAGCCGACGGCTTTAACTGGAAAAATCAGGCGCCAATATATATTTTCACGCATCAAGTGATAACATACTGTAGCACGGCATGTGCTACCCCGTGGTCAAGGAGGACGCTGGAGGCAGGATTCAGGGTCGCAGCAGCCATTTCACTTTTATTCACAAACCAAATAGACAAAACTAAACCGAACAACTAGAACCTATGTTAACTGAGCGGGCCTTTTCAGTAACTTTTCAGTGGCTTCCGCTAGCCTTTTCAGTCCTTTTCACACTCGAGCTTTTCAGCTTCTCACTCTTAAGTCTTTCGTCGCTGTCGCCTCTCTCTCTCTCTGAAAGGCGTTGCCGCCCCCTGCTCGCAACTCGTCCGCCCGGATCGAACGTGAGGCTGATTAACGTGGCCTCACTGCCAGACCGGAGGCGGTGTGCAGGAAGGGGCTCGGGCTCACTCACCGTGTTCCTCTCTCTGCCGGGCTTAGGAGTTCAGGCCCCGCCTTCCCTTCGGCTTTCGCGGCCGTCACCGGACACGGGGACGGGCGCACGCCACATATACGAATTGTAAATATTCCAGCAGTAAACTCAGGTCTGCCTGTAATTTATTTAGTTTTATGTCCATATCAGTTAATTTTAGAATTCATTCTGACTATCTACTTTGAACAGAAAGTGACCGGTAAATGTGAGGCTGGGTCTTCGCTGCAGAAGGTGCGAGTATAACGGTCTAACAGGCGCCTGAACTTAACTGTAGCGCCATTTAAGGTGGCACGGAGCGCAAAAAATGTAACGGGAAAGGGGTGGCGAGAGTTTATCTCTGGCTAGAATGTGCTCTTTTTGCATCAGAAACTCTTTTAAAAATTCATATTTTAAAATGCTTAACTAACCAAGAGAGGTAAAATTGTATAAAATAATAGTTTGTAAAGTTTCAGAATAGTAAAATAACAGTTAAACACTGTAAACGTTTCATATGCTTGTTTTACTTTCCATGAAAAATATTTATTATATCAAGGCTAACTATAAGTTGTCTGGATTTCAGGTTTGTCAGCAAGTGTCTTAGCTAGCTGACAGATGCAAAGCCAGTAGCTCAAATATAGTTGTAAGTATTCTTTACTTCTTAAATCAGTTATAAGTGTTATAGATTTGTAAGGGATTATGGAGCAGTTGCCTCGGCCAAGCACAAATGTGTAATGATGCCTGTTATTTAAAATGAATACATCTTGAGAGTTTAAATGATTGCTGATCAGTGACACATCTCTTAGGCTCTGAATGTGAAGGTGTATCTATGAGGTACCTATTACTAAAACACTAAGCTGAAGCATGGCCATTATGGTCAGAGACACTTATTTTCGTCCACATACTGTGAATGCCCATGCGGATTCAAAACTGATTACAGGTGAAACTAACGAAAGTCTTGAGGAGGAAAGGCAAGCTCTTACACTGGAGGTGAAGAACAACTAACAGCTAATCCAAAGTGAAGCAGGCAGCAGGACACAATATCAGCCTTATCATGGCAGCCATGGACAAGGTATGTGTTTTGTATGAGAGTGTCTTACTTCTCTGCCTCTTTCTGTCTTATGTGTTTTACTTTCAATTCAGTTAAAATATGATTTGTTGCCATGTCCTTAATCAAATATTGTTAAAACAAACTTATGAACATAGTTGAAATCATAATTTTACATACACCTTAGCCACATTCATTAAAACTCAACTTTTTAAAATTAATTTTCTTTCACAATTTCTGACATTCAATCCTAGTACACTTTCCCTCTCTTAGGTCAGTTAGGATAACTACAATTAATTATTTTAGCTTTTATTTTTCATCACATTTCTAGTGGCTCAGAGGTTTATTTATTTATTTATTTTTTTGTGGGATTATGTTATACATGGGGTGGCATTATCATCTATAGCTAAGCTCATACAGAATTTTTAACATGCTTTTCATATTTTAATTTCACAAAATGTTCTCTGAATTGCTTATACTGAATTTCTTTGCTAATGTATAGGCTCACCAACTTTTAAACTTGTAACGGAGTAAGAACAGAAGATGTTATGCTAAACTGACTGACCAGTGCAAATTCAAAGCCAACTTGTAACTTCTGCCACCTTATTCAAATTTTACGTTTCACCTTAAATTTTAATTTGTTGTTTGTACAACCAACCACACAGCTGCTCTTCGACAATGTTATTAATTTATACTGGTTAGTTCAATGTACGTTTTGCTTTTCTTGGTTTTGCTATTGTTGTCTATGCGGGACTTGGGATTGTTTCCCCCCAAAAAGGGGCGTGCTGATGAGAGCTTACTGTGGATGATTTATTGCCAGTCTGATCAATGGAGCTCTGTGGCACAAACGAATACATTAACTCAAGACTTTTGATACACATACAGTATTACTTAGTAGGATACATTAATTGTTGGTTTTGGTCTTTTGATGGGGTTTACTACAATAAAAAGGGTACATTCACTGGCCTTATTCTTTAAACAAATGGGCAAATATTAATGAAAAATAATACGCAAATAATACACTTCTTCAGGCTGAGGATTTGCTATTCTGTGTTCTTTGATTGAAAACTTGATGTTTTGAGTTTGTACAGTTGGATGAGCAAGGGGCATTTATTATGACGTAATATGCATAATTTAATACTATTTCTTTGTCATTCAGGGTATTGATCTTGGTGCAGTGAGAGGAATGGAGAAGGAATGGTTTTGGGCATCTACTTTGTCTGACACAAGGGAGCAGACTCTACAGATCCACCTGAGGATGTTGGCATCATTAAAATATGCACAGTGCTGCAAGATCTGGGAGATTTGGCAAATGGGTGTGCAGTCCTGCTTGGCTTGATCTATAGTTTAAACTTGAGCTATCCCAAGGTTCTGCAATACACATTTGAATTTCTTTAAAGTGTTGATGGAATTGGATGGGAACAAGCTCTCCAGTACAGTACAGGTCCTCAACAACAAACTGTGTGACTTCTGTTGACTCTTGGGCAAAGAAATAAACTGTGACTAGCTTTGAATTTTGGAGCAGTGCTGGACAAGGAGATGAATCTAAAGAACAAATTTTGCTTGATTGCAGTTATTACAATGTTTCAAGTTTTTTTAGCTGTCATACATGTTTGAATTTCTTCAGAAAGTGATGGCTTTGTATAGGAACAAGCTTTTGATTTAAGGCGCAAGTCCTTGAAAACTTCTGTTGACTCTTACTTGGGCAGCGTTACTTGTCTTTGGATTTTGGACTGCTGCTGGACAAAACAATCAGCAGTGTAAAGAGGTGTTGGGTTTTTTTTTTTGGTAATTGCTGTTTCAAGTTCAGCCTTGAGCATGTGTAAATTGAGCAACTTTTGTTTTCTGAATACTTGCTGGACCATAAAACTTCAAAAATTAAAGACAAAAAACAGTTTTGATATTGTTGGTTATCTCACCCATAAATGTGAAGAGATTCACAAACCTCTTTTAAAATAAACCTTTTTAAATTAATTTAATCTTTGTATTTTGATCTACTTTATTTATTTAGTGTGTTATTGTTTAAGTAAATTAACTTTTTGTAAATTTGTACTTTATCATTTTCTAAATTTATTTGTGTTTGTGTTATGTATGTGTTATGTATGTATTAACAACTTACATATTTACTTTGATTCATGATGGTCTCTATTAATGTAATGTACCTTGCATAACATTCAGTGTTTCTAAACCTGAAAGCTTAATAAAGTCAGGTGAGTTAAAGTGACTTAAGTTTATTTGACCTATGGACTCATTTGTGTTGAGTAAATTGAACTTCATCTTGTCAAGTTAAGTCAACTTGTCAGTAAATTCAAAACAATAATGTTATATTAATTCAGTAAAACTCCATGATGTTGCATTTAATTAACACAATTTGGTTGGATTTACATAAAATATGTTGTTGCAATTAATTGTCTATTGTTTTTCCCATTCAAGCAACCAAGTTTTGTGGGACCGGTTGCCATAACTAGATTAAGTAAATATAACGTTTCATTTCTTAGAGTGTAGTTGAACCCTTTATGGTGCTACATGGAACCATTTTTAAAGGCTCTTTGGCTGCTCCACAGCCCAATGCTAGGGACCTATGCTTAGTTTTAAGCATAAGCTCATGTGCAGCTGGTTCTCAGCATCCCATTTTTTCAAGCTTTTTATTGAGATTATACAAGCTGCACAATTGAATACCTGTATCCTGAATGGGTGCACCTGAATGTAGTAATTATAAACTCTGTGAACAAACCTTTGGACATTTGCACCTTAAAAACATATATACCTAATTTCTTCTCATTCATTGTCCTGTACTCCTGTATGGAGTGCAAAGAGGGTTTTTGTCCTGTAATATATTAATGTGTTAGATTTAGGCTGATATGAGAGACAGCGGCAGACAGAGAAAGAGAACGAGAGATAGGGAGCAAGAGCATGAGAGAAAGGAAGAGAGAAGTACCTTCAGCAAAATTCTCCAGAACAGTCTGGCACTACCATTTTCTTATGAGTGGAAAGTCACACTGCCAAAAGAAAAGGACAAAACATCAAATGACTGCACTTAAGTACAAACAGATTTCTGTAACAAAATATAAAAAAGATAACATGGAGAACGTACTAAAAAATAACATAAGAATATATTTAAAAAAGCATTTTCTTCAGTTGTGGCTGAGGATTCACAGAACTCAGTACGATCTTCTCCAAATGTTTTGCACTGCACCATTAATCATATCAATGGAAAGATACTGTAGTTCGCTATATGAAGCTCTTCACAGCAGTGCAAAATAATGACCCCTGGTGGTTAAAACATTAACAGCAGCTACAAATCTACTCCGCTTATCTTTTTGCCATTTCTTTTTCCAAACATCTGCGCAAATATCCTGTAAAAATTGAAAATGAAATGAAATACCTACATTTGCTAATTAATTTTTCACACAAGCCCCAGTCATTTGTGACAAAAATAAAAATAAATTTAAAACAGCTATTTGTCTTAAACAAATCAACCATTTGTCATTTAATTTTAGTCATTATTCTGGTATTTCATGACCATATTTAAAATGGAAAAGCCAATAGAGAAAAGATAATCCAAGCTTCACTTTTTGCTTTAACTTTTCTTTATGAAGTGCATAATACATGTCAAAACTAAAATCAAAATGCAGTGTTTACATTCTAATTTCTTTTTCATAACAACAGGCTGCATATCTGACAAAATTAAAATGAAAATGCAAAATGGATAAATCAACAGTTTGCAATTCAGTTTTCGGCACCATGGTAAAGTTAGTTTTATTTTTGATATTCGTCGTTTTGGCGCTAATAACATCTGAATGGACTGTAGAGGCTGGTAAAGACTTACATATTCATGACAGTACGACCACAGAGAGTGATGCACACCTTTTCTTTTGCGGTTTGGGTGACATTTAACGTACCCATCTTTTTGTGTTAATACCGAAAGAGTAAGACGAGATTTCCAATCAGAATAAAATGCATGCATTTCTAGACCAAACCTACATCGGTGCACACGCATTTGTTTTCCTCCAAATCATTTCAGTGCTTTTAAAAACATATTTTATTGTTTCCTTTAACAAGAGATTCAGTTGGACAACAAACAAAAAACATCAATAGCTCCAGAACCACTGTGTCTATAAACATCTGATTGTGTTTTTTACTTTAAACTATAGTGAGAATTGCACACCAAAAAAAGGACATTTAATTAAACAGTAGCTAAAATGTACATGCCCATACTTATTGTACTGTAATACCTGTAAAAAGTGATGTTACCTGTATATTGCTATACAGTTAGCTTGATGATAACATGCACAGTCTTTAAGGTTGAACAGATGCTTAACTGTCTAGAATGTTTGTATTACAAAAATCAATCATATGAGAGTGCAGAGGAGAAAATGTCTTATTTAATTTATTTTAGGTGGAATTAAAGTTTTATAAATACACCAAACACACTCAGTGTGTCAAGTTAGAGGCAGTGTTCAAATAGAAGACCAATAGCTTGAAGATATAATAGCACATATGCAGTTCTTTTGGAATGAATAACACTATAATATGATATTTTATATTCATTTAAACTTTTACATTCATTTTAAAAAATAATATGGATCTAATCAAATACCTAATGTTCATTTTGTTATTTCAATTGCAGTTCAACCACATTAAATACAATGCTAAAATCAACTACAAACAGTGCAGCTAATTGGGAATCATGACAAACAACTCTATTTTAAATGTAATACTATATTATTTTTCCTTTTTGAATTTTAGTTATTATTGTATTACATTTAACAGTGAAATAAACAGTGTTTGGTGCAGACAGGTGTTAGTGATGATGCACAAACTTTGGATTTTACCTGCATAGGATATAATGCAGCTGATTTTAGTGTTGTAAGTAATGCAGCTAAAATACTTTTGAAATTCAAGATGGAAAAAAATCTCAAGTAGTTATTGAGTATGAAGTAGTTATTATTGCATTCAAAATCCAGAAGTTGTGCATCATTGCTGCAACTTAGCTACAACATTTACAATGTAACAATTTTAGTGTTGCATATACTGCAGCTGAAATGCTGTCAAAGAACAAAATGTATAAAATTGTATATAAATTAGTTATTGCATTGCATCCAAAATCCCAAAGTTGTGTATGATTGCTGACACTTCACTGCACCATACACAGTTCTTTTTAGTGTTGTATGTAAGATGGCTGACATATTATTGAAGTTTAAAATAAATAAAAATTAATGTAAAGTTGTTATTGCATTGCATAAAAAATCCAAAAGTTGTGTATGATTGCTGACACCTAACTGCATCATGCACATTTGTTTTTAGGGTTGTATGGAATGTGTTTGTAATGCTATTGAAATTCCAAATACATGAACATTAATATATTGCAGTTATTGCATTGTATCCAAAATCCAAAGGGTGTGCATCATTGCTGACACTTCACTGCACCATACACAGTTCTTTTTACTGTTGTATGTTTTGTAATTGAAATGCCATGGAAATTCATAATACATAAATGTTAAAATAAAGTAATTATTGCATTATATCCAAAATCCAAAGGTTGTGCATCATTGCTTACACTTCATCACACCATATACAGTTGTTTTCAGGGTTCTATGTAATGTATAAATTATTGAAATTTAACATACATAAAAATATAAAGTAGTTATTGCTTTATATCCAAAATCCAAAAGTTGTGCATGATTACGGAAACCTAGCTGCACCATACACAGTTGTTTTTAGTGCTGTATGTAATGCAGCTGAAATGCTATTGAAATTCAAAATGCATAAACATTTACATAAGGTAGTTACTGAATTAAATGTAAAATCCAAAGGTTGTGCATGATTGATGAAACAGCTGCACCACACACAGTTGTTTTTAGTGTTGTATGTAATGACACTGAAAAGCGATTTAAATTTAAAATACATTGGAATTAATGTAAAGTAGTGTTTGCAATCCAAAAGTTGTGTATGATGGTGTAATGATGTAATGGAATAACTACTTTATATTAATTTCTATGTAATTTGAACTTATAATAATATTTCAGCCACATGACATACACCACTGAAACCAACATTTTATGGAGCAGCTAGATTCAATTAATCAAGTACAACCTTTGGATTTTGGATGTAATGCCAGAAATATGTAATAAAATTTTTTATATATTTTGAATTTCAATAATATCTCAGCAGCATTACATAGAACACTAAAAACAATGGTATATGGTGAAGCAAGGTATCCGCAATAATGCACAAACAAAATATCTTGAAATATAATGCAATAAAAGCTTTTGTGTTTTAAATTTCAATAAAATTGCAGCCTCATTACATACCACACTAAAAACCACTGTATATGGTGCAGCTAGGTGTCAGCAATCATACTTTTTTGGATGTAATGCAATAAATTATTTTCATTTAATTTCAATTTAAATAATATTTATTTATAGATATTTCAAGATGCAATAATATTTCAGCCACATTTTTAATGACTAAAATTAAATGACAAATGGTTGATTTAAATTTATTTTTATTTTTGTCACACATGACTCATGCTTATTTGAAAAATAAGCAAATGTAGGTATTTTATTTCATTTTCAATTTTGGCAGGATATTTGCACAGATGTTTGGAAAAAGAAGTGGCAAAAAGAGGTTTGCATTTCACTTTATTGTTTTAATTTTAATTTCTTTTTTGGTCGGATTTGCCTCCCATATCGTGTAAGGTTATACAGGACATAATTGTGCTGATAATCAAGTTTAACTTGAATAAGTAAACTGAATTAGACATTTGACTTGTATTGAATCGAAAAAATAACAGAATGGTATAAAAATATGAACCGTTATCAGTATTTTCACTGTTTGCATTTGTTAGCCAAGGTATTGCTAGCTAGCTGTGTCTGCTGAGCTTAACTTTAAAGCATTAGCTAGCCAGCTACATTGCCTTAGAATTTATATCCCTTCCTTACATATTTGTAATGACTAGTTTACAGCATTAATTAATACTGTTGTGAGAATTTAAT